ACCTAATAAAGTGGCTGGTGAGTGTAGCTCCCAAGCAGCCTCGCACCGAGGACCTAGTTGATGTCATCATTTACCCAGAATGCTTTGCGTGTAAATAAAATGGCTCCGTCCGTGTTAAAATATATTTAAAAAAATTACAAATCTAAACAGCCTACAGTATATTTACAGTCTTTATTTTACAGTTAAAATAAACGTTTATCAAATCAAGTTTAATGTTACAACTAATCGTGGATCCCTTTAAGGCTTGTCAGTGTGTTTTTGGCAGATTCCAGATTGGCTTTTTTATGATTTGGTGTCCTCCTCGGTCCACTGAGTGCACTTTGGCTCAAACAATGATGGATGGCGCGATCACACACTGCTGTACCTTGTCCTTGGAGTTCACCTCTAATCTCTTTGGAAGTTGTTCTTGGCTCTTTGGTTAGCACTCATGTTATCTGTTCCTTCAATTTGTCATAGATTTGTCTCTTACAAGAGAAAAAGGCTTATTGTAAACATGCTAGCCAATAATTTGTTTTTCCGTAACTCCTGTGATAATCTTGGTTTTCTGTGGTCCATGTTGTGTGGTACACACCACCATACCAGACAGCACTGTGACTCTTTAAATAAACTAATTACAATAATAGACATCTGTAATGCAGGAATCACCCTAGTTTAACATGTCACCATAGATTTTGTAGAGGTACCATGTTTTTGTTGTCAAAGACAATTTCAATCAAAAGCAATAAAAAAAGTCCTCACCTTTAAAGAACGTTGTAAAAACAGCACAATCTAATAACAAGAAACTCTTGTTTTTGTAAAAATTGAATCTCTGTTGAACAGTTGGGACATTTATTCAGGCTATCAAGACAATAATAAATACATTATTTCATGACAACAAAATGAGTTGAAATGATGGTTTTGATATTTGTGGAGACTTTCCTCCAAATGAAAACAATACCTTGTGTCTCTGCAAATCGCAGATACTGTCAGATTTGGTGGATAATGTTGAAACTATATACAGGGTTTTCACATTTAAGTTAAAGGACTAAAATAACATCATCTGTACACAAACACGAATCTATCTACACGAGCTACGCTTTGAACACAAGCCTCTCCACAAATCCTCTAACTTCGACTACTTTACTGACAATTACTACTTTCAATAAAAATAATTTTCCACATACCCAAAAAGTGTGGAAAATTACGCAATTGGCACTATCATGTTTCACAATTTACTGGTTGACACAAACTCCAGTTATAAAACGGAAGCTATAGTGACTACAACTGAAACTTTCACCTGATGTACACATTCCTCTGTGATCAAAAAATTTCAATGTGCAGCAAAATGTAGTTTGATTACAGTGAGGCAAACATCTGAAGTTAAAAAAGTAGAATTTAATAACCAAGTACGCGATGTACGGAAGCCCTGAGGTGCAAAGATTTATTATTTTTGTCGCCCAAATTACGTAAAAACAAAAACGGGTAACAAAAAAACCAATTATAAAATCTTTCAAACATCAGGAAAATACCAGTGCTGGGCACGTAACACAGCTGATGCTAAACAGCAAGAAATTKTTTTACACATGTAAACACTAACTTTTTTCTTTTTCTGCTTACTTGATGTGAATACTCAGACAAACACAGTGGTCACCTTGAAGGAGGGGCAGGGTCTTGATCACTATTGACTTGAGATGGCCATCAATTTGTGTATTAACCAATGAAAACCTCTGCTGTAGGGCTGCTTGGCTACGTGCAGTGCCGCTTAAATGAATTTTTTTATTTTAAAACTCTTCCTAACAGCGGATAAACTATCTGTAAGTACTACAATGCAGAACTGTATTACCACCGGAGGATTTAGAGCCTGAAATATCCCTTAAATTTAAAACCTATGTAACAAACAGAGCTGATCAGTGTATGGCAGAAAATTTGACAAAAAAACAGGACAGGGCTGCCCTGTGTTGAAAGGTTTTGAAAATGCATTAAACAAAACAATTCCTTAAAAATATTCTAAACATCTTTGAGTCATAATTTAATTTTGTGCATAATTATGAGATTAATTGCGATTGATCAAGATATTTTTTGAGATTAATCACAACTAACTGCAAAATATTGAGATTCATCACGATTAATTGCAAAAAAAATCTTGAGATTAATCACAATTAACTTGCTAAAAGATCTTGAGATTAATTGCGATTAATCTCAAAAATATCTTGATTCACAATTAAAAAATGTTAATTTATGCCCAGCACTAGATAGAAAAGACAAAACAAAACAAAACAGAAAACACAGCCACATTAGCTGCATTTCCATTGCAAATGTGCGCAAAACTTTGTCGATATTCTAATGTCAAAAAACACCGTTTTGCAATTGCGGTGTTTCCGTTAAGTAAGAAATGCTATTAAAGTCACGYGCGAATACGTTTGTTCTCGCGATGTCATTACAAACATGGCGGCGATGGATGTAAACACATGCATAATTGCTACCATGGCACTAGCGCTCATCAGAAGAGACGTCGGCGTCTTATCGAGGCTTTTGAGTGACGAGCCCCTTATACCTGGGAGAGGCTACGTATGCTGCGCTTTGGGGAATTGCAGTCAGTGAGTGTACTACTTTCTTTTACAACTTCGGTGATTTTACTACTATTACAACTTCCTGTTGTTTTCTTCGTCGTCGCCTTTTTTTCACCCGTAGAATCAGCTGGTTGTTGATCACGTGACTCCCGTGATGTGAAAAAAGTGTTTCCATTGCAGTTTTGTGAAACACACCAGTTTCGATACGACCGAAACACCACCTCATCCTAGCGCAAAAACGTTTTGTCGAAAAAAGGACGTTTTTTTTTCCTCGAAATTGACGTGTTGATTGAGCAAATTTATTTTCAAAATTCTAATTTGTGGATTTTCATGGTCAATGGAAATGCAGCTTTTAGGCATTTTTGTTAGGAGACTGTTAACACGTGATCTCAATTAGCCTAGTTTGTAAATTTTTGTGATTTTGTGGGGTTTTTTTGCCTCAAGGCCACTGTAGTTAAACTTTATTTTGGGATTAAAACAGCCATCGATGTAAATTCATGTTCATGCTTTGGATTAAATACGGTATTCTTAATCCAATGCTCTTTTTTTAAAATATTTGATGCTTTTTTGACAGTGTGTAAACTTACCTCAAATATTCCCCTGAAAGGCTGTGTAGTTTCTTCTAAAATAGTTCTTTTGTTAGTATTTTGTTAATGAAATAATATCCTTGTAAAATTCCCATAGTTGTGCTCCTTTTGTCCCTTTTATTCACCACTATGCTTTTAAACTTTGCCTTTTACCCAAACTTGGATATAATATCCACCTGATTCACTTCATTCATTCAGAAGTTAAAGTGGAATAAAATAAAGTGGATTTAATGTGTGAATTATCTGCTGAGGCCAGTTTTTTTTGTAATCACAGCAAATAAACAGCTGTGTGTATTACCACATGCATAAAAAAGGGACAGCACTGAATAGAAAGTTCCCAAATCAAGATTCTCATTTTGCTGTATGAGAGCTGAAACCAGAACAAAAAACAGCAGTTTATAGTTGCTTTGAAGTGTGTTGGATCAGAGGAAGGTGTGTGTGTCCGTTCAGGCTTCTGGCGGGTCGTTGCGTCTGTTGCGGCTCTTCCTCCGATCCAACAGGGGTTTCAGTTTGGCCAGATCCCCCCTGAGGATTCCAGGCGGCAGTGGTGCTTGTTGCTGCTGCAGCCTCCGAAAGTCCTTCCTCTCTTTGCAGAACTGCTGCACAGCCAGACTCTCCGCGGGGCTGAAGGCCTCGAGCACGGCCTTAGGGCGCAGAGAGCTGGCCCAGGCCCAGGGGGACTGCTGTTTGTCTGTCAGCACCCTCACCATGGCCTCGCTCAGCACGCGCAGACGGATCTTGGCCACGGTGCGTTTGAAGCCGTTCTCGGTGGTCAGGCAATAGTAGAGGCCCTGGTCCGACTGCTGGAGGGAGCGGATGAGGAGGCCGTGCTCGGTGGAGAGGACACGCTCACCCAGCTTCACCTACAGAAAACCAAAACAGTCAGTTAAATGGTGCGCATTTAAGGTTAGGTTAACTATACTCGAAAAGATTAAAAGACAGGACTTTTAATTTGTAGTTCAAGACACTTTGATGAGCTAAGTTCAAACATCTGGATGGACCAATCACATAAGTTCATTACTCTGCCTAAAACAAACAAAACAAATAAAAGAAATGAAGAAATTAATACGGCCAGTCACCTTGCTTGCCAAAGTTTCAAACAAAAATCTGATACAATCTGTTAGCGCTCAAAGTGTATGTAAAGAGAATCTCAGCTACTACCACACCAAACTTTAGCTCAGTATCTGTAAAACTGACCAATTTGTGGCCGTTTTTGTGTTTGCTGATTTGTGTCAGCTGTGGCAACCATCTTATATCAGGTTGCTCAATAAATTAATTCAAATGTACAAGTCTATTCAGGGATTACTTGCTGAGAGTTTCATACAAATCCATCCAGTGGTTTATGAAATATTTTGCTAACACACAGACAAGGTTTCTTCCAACAGTTAATCCCAGAGGTTTAGGCAAAAATCGGATAAAATCTAGTAGCGCTTATAGTAAGTGTTGGGAATGACTCTCAGCTACTACAACACCAAACTTTAGCTTAATATCTGTAAAACTGGTTGACTTGTAGCCATTTTTATGTTTGCTGAGTTAGATCAGCTGTGGCAACCAGTTTGAATTGGGCTGGTTCCTAAAGTTAATCAGTTGTAGATGTCCATCCAGTGATTACATACTGCGAGTTTCATCAAAATCCATCGAGTGGTTTGTGAAATATTTTGCTAACAGACAAACTGGTTTGCTTCCAGCAGTTATTGATAAAGAGCTTATGTAACCTGTTGTTGTAAACTCAAAGTATGAGATGGGAATGACTCTCAGCTACGACCACACCAAAATTCAGCTAACTAAATCATTGAAGCAGATCCTTATGGATAAGAAGGAAGACATCTAATCAGTTACATCTTGAAGGTTTTCATTGTCTCCTCGGCTCCATTAAGACACGTCAGACTGACCTCCTTCCTCCTGTCGTTGTCCCTCTGGATGAGCCAGCGAATCGACGCCCGAGGAAACTTTGGAACGCATTCCAGGAAGGTGGTGTTGTTTTTCACGCCATACTGCATTATCTCGACGGCGTTCCTGTAGGCTAACACACACACACGTGCACACACACACGTGCACACACACACACGTGCACACACACGCTCAGAGTCAAAGGGAGGCACATCAGACGTCAGTCGCTGACAGACACGAAGCTCACAGATGGGCTCAAATCTGTCTCCAGTCTCAGGATGACAGAGAAATGTTGACACAAAGCTCAGCTTGGCGCTCGCAGCACCACTGAACACCATCCAGACTTCCTTTTCTTCAAACACTATAACCTTCAAGACGTCGAAGCAACCCACGCTCCTGTCACGTCCTCTGAGCTGGAACGCAACGGTTCATCATTCAGCCAGATGCATGTCAGGGACGTGACTAATTACTGGTAATGACCACATGGTTCGTTCCCAAAACTGCAAATTTGCCAGTTTAAGTTCGTTTATTAGAGAGTGCACAAGCTTTTTATAAAATATAAGAAATGCAACTTTATCAGTAAATGTCTGATTTAAATAATTACTTAATCAGCTGAATGTTTTGGACTTTGGGGAACCAAAAATAAATAAAGAACATTTTCCTCATTATCAACCAGTTTAAAGAGTAACTTACCCCAAAATTAACTTTTTTTAGCTGATAAACTGTCTAATGTGTCTAAAATGTTATATAGTAC